TTGTTCTGAATTCAGTATCTTCATCACATCTTGATATACTTGCCTTAATGTAAAACCTATTTCACATAGGATTGACAAAGCATTGTGACCTACGGGAGTTGCACTTAGACAGAAGAAAATCACTGTTCGCAATAGTTTTAATTAATATTTACAAATCTTGGCAATCAATATGCTAGCCTAGAGTCTATTTGTAGAGAACCCAAGAAAGCTCATAAGGAGAAAACATTAAGGATAAACGTTATCTGAGTAACTGCATTGTGACTAATATATAGACAACAGATGCCAGGAAAATGGGCGAAATATAAATATAACATCGCCAATTTTCCTTGCATCTGTTGTCTATATATTAGTCACAATGCAGTTACTCGGATTAACCTTTATCCTCTATGTACTGAAAGTATCAATGGGTAATGGGTTTTGAAAACATTACGTCCTGCTTATGATTATTTTAGTTTGCATGATTGCAAGTCTAAGCTATCGATATATTTATGGTAAACTGTGTTGGGCTGTTTCGTTTAAACTGTTGAAAACCGTCAGTTACTCATATCTAGAAAGCTCCAATAAAGAGAAAAATAGCTTGGCTATGCGCTAAGTTTCTATAATTATTAAGAAACAGAATCATATTTAGTGCTAAAGACATGCGTGTTTCGATGGGTCCCAATATTCCATCATTGTCAGTGACAAAAGATGTGCATTGCATTTATGTTATGAAATGAGAATACCGTAACAATACAAAGTGTCAAATACATAGTATATAATATGATAACCTTGAATGTGGCAAATGTGTCAGATTTAAATGCCAAAGTTGTCTATCAGGATAAGGTTGTTTTCCAAAAATTTGCTCTGAATCATTGTTTAAGGTAGCATACGCTAAACGTATCTGAGCTTTCCAACTCAAAATAGCCCCGATCCAGTTAAACAATAGAAAACATTACTTGCAATAAACGCAGTATTTACAAATCTAGCAATCGATATTTACACTAACCTGGTCATGTGAGTATCAACAGTTATGACTATCATTGAAGTGACAGTATAATGACGATTTCGCAGCATTTTTAAACAAAACAATACTGAAATTATGACTTTACTTTCGCTACGAACACAAAATCCTCCTAGATTAATATGATGAAGAGCAAATTGTGATTAACTTTTGTCGATTATTGCAAGACGACTTTCAATTTTGCATCGCAGACTTGCGCATGTATACCCGTTGAATGACTTTATAGTATCAGTGCTCTTATCAGACCATTTTGTAAGAAGACTAGACCATTATATTTGAGTTTACATCAATAAAAATATGTCTTTTTAAGGTATTGACATTTTCAAGTCACGTTCGAGAAAGTGCCTCTTTAATTTTGGGTACATAGAGATTAAAGGGCTCTAGTCAGCCACACCTTTGTTTTTGTTTACATGCGAGAGTTTGGCAATTATATTTTATTCGGAGCATGTCGAAACGAACGAAATCACTTTGAAACTACTAAAGATAATTAAACATACTTTCAGGAACACAACTTACAGTAAAGCAATAAGGTTTCGCTTCAACATACAATATCAATCATTTCGATGGCTTCGAAAATGGCGCGGCTGACTAGGGTCCTGTAACAATATAATTTCAATCGAATAACTGTACGCGATCATTGTACCTCTCAGAGACAACTATCCGACCATTACTAAGAACCGCTATAGCTGAGGGTAGCTTAAATTCTCCTAAATTCTCCCCTTTTGTTCCAAACTTATAAACCAACTTTCCATTCAGTTCAAATATTTGTATTCGATTATTCCAAGAATCACACACCATTAGGTGTCCCGACTTGCTCATTGACAAGCACCGAGGATTATTGAACTCCCCTTCCCCTCCACCCTGCTTTCCGAAAGCGAACTTAAAATTTCCCTTCCCGTCGAACATTTTAATGCAATGTTCATGACCATCTGACACTATAAAATTTTCGCCATACTGAACACAGTGGGTAGGGCAGGTGAAGGAACCCTGCTCACCTATCTGCATTAGAAACTCACCATTAGGAGAAAAGAATTTAATCAGTTTATTGCCTGAATCAGCAACAATGATATTTCCATCACTGTCTATGGATAAACCATGAGGATTGCAGAGTTGTTGATTGAGATTTCCTTGCTTTCCAAAGGTGTCCAAGTACTCGCCCAGCCCACTGAAAATCTGGATCCTGTGGTTCCCAGAATCTGCTACTAATATGTGTCCATTTTTGTCGAAGGCTATCCCAGTTGGCTTGTTAAATTGTCCCTCTTTGCTTCCTTGTCGACCAAAGGATCTCAAGTAATTACCATCGCTGGTGTAGAGCTGAACCCTGTGGTTGGACAACTCTGTCACAGCGATCTCGTTACAGTCATTCACCGCCAATCCGCAAGGAGAATTCAGCATTCTGACGGAGGAACATTTTTTTCCAAAGGATAAAAGTGGTGTGAACTTCATTGATTTCACTTGGACCGGAAAAGGGCTTCCGCGGATGCTTTCTCCGTTTATCTTGACTCCCACTTTACATGTGCCATAATCTCTGGGAAAATAGGTGATCTCGTAGAATCCATCCTTTGAATTCTTCACTAACACTTCCGTCACGCTCTTCATTGCTTTTTCGTCGACAACGTCTACTGTCACGAGGTCGCTTTCATTGTAACACAGTTTCCCCTTTGCATCTTTTGTGGTCAAAACAAATTGTGCTTCACGTCCAACGATTGCATCGTTGAGCCCCTGACCCTCAGCAACAGATTGACTAGCTTTTGTTTGTTGCAGTATTCGAAACGAGCCAAATTCTTCGGTGTTGACGTAATCGAGCATCTTTTGATTTTCCACGAAAGCGAAAACAGGAAGGCCTTCGGGGTCACGTCTGTACACAGTTTCAGCAAATTCAGAGACTCCGCCGACGATTGTGGCAAACGTTTTCTTCAGTTGAACAATTTCAGCGTTAACACTTCGTGTTAAAAGTTTATCAGCTTTTTCAAGCGATGACTCCGTGGCATTCGCTTCATACTCCATCTCGGTCTTTTGCTTTGTTAAACGTTCAAGTGATTTCTTCGTTTGGTTATCAACCGCTTCAAAAATACTTCGCTTCTTCGCTTCCATGGCGGAAATGATGCTATTAGCGAAGGTTTCAGCATTTCTCTTCACTTCTTCACCTTGCTGTATAACTTTAGCGCAGTCTTCTTTTAGTTGACTAACTGCGTTTGTCTTTGCTTGCAATTTCTTTCTTTGAGTCTCAATCACAGATCTCATCTGTATCTTCTGCCGTTCAGCCGCCTCTTCTATGTGCTCCAGAACGTGACCAGTGTGTTCTAGGGTGACACAAGTTTGACAAACGGCTGCTTCACAATCCTTGCAAAAGTATTTCAGCTCTTCTTTCTGGTGTCGTTGCTTGGTGCACAACACAGGTCGCTTAAGGACGTCCTCGTAATCTTTGTCCTGAAACTCTTTCACCGCGAGAACGCGGTGATCTTTGTTGCTGCGAATAATGTTGTGTCCACTTACGCACTCCTCGCACCAGAAAGCACAACACTGAAAACAATAGGAACTCTCGGAGCTTTTCTCGTCGCAATTGCCGCATCTCACCTGGCCGCTGTTACATTCTTTAATAGTCAAAACGTCGATCATACCGTTCAGGTAAAAACTTGTCGGAAGATCCTTCAGATCGCCGCTCTCCGGTACTTTGCTGAGTGCTAGACAGTTCGGACATTTGATTGTGCCTCGGCCATTATAGCTTGCTCTCCGCCATTGTGTTAAGCACTGTAAACAGAAGCTATGTAGACATGGCAGCTGTTTTGGATCAGTAAAAATGCTGGAACACACCGAACAAGACACTTCTTCGCGAAGATTATGAAGCAACGTTCTGATGTCCATCTCGTTTTCACAACAAGGAAGATGGAAAAAGTATACCCTGGTCCCTGAGGTTTTTCTTGATTTTTCTTCTTTTCGCGAAGCGGCGAACACGAGTCGCGAAGCGGCGAGAAAGAAAAACTTTTGGTTACCTTGGACTTGAATCTCACTTTCATGCAGACGCCAGCTGTCAAACGCGTCAAATTGATAATTACAAAAGGGACCAATGGCAACTTA